TTCTCAAAGAGTTTCCCTAGGATAGAGGTAAGACTGATGGGCCTATAGTTGCCCAGGTCCTCCCTCCTTCCTTTTTTAAAGATGGGGACCACGTTGGCTATCTTCCAATCATCTGGCACCTGGCCCAAGCACCACGAGTGCTTGTAAAGCCGTGCCAAGGGCCCTGAAATAACCCCTGCTAGCTCCCTCAACACCCTGGGGTGGAGGGCATCTGGACCCACTGATTTGAACATGTCCAGCCCCTCCAGAAGCTTTCTAACCCAGTCCTCCCCAACCTGAGGTCTGGAGGCATTCCCCTCAAGTCCATCTTGCATCACGGTGGGGAAGTCCCGGTCCCTGCACAAGAAAGCAGAGGTGAAGAATTGGTTAAAGAGGTCTGCTTTCCCCTCTGGTGCAACCACCAGATTGCCCAGAGGATCTTGCAGGTGCCTCACATTTCCCAGTGCTTTCTTAATCCTCCCTATATATTTGAAAAAGGACTTTTTGTTATCTTTGATTTTGGATGGTAGTCCTAGCTCTATGTCCGCCTTAGCTTTCCTGACAGCCCCCCTACAGGCCCGATAATTTTGAGTTTCCAATAGGATAATTTCATACTTAAGACCTGGCAAGGCTAAGTTAATTGGTGAACCCCGCCATAACTAGAGACCAGGCTCAAGGCAAAGTGATGCTTGCGCCACTCACTGGTTAACGGTACCATAAATGGAGACCAGCTAGGCTGTAATTACCACCTGATAAAAATGATTTTCCATTTACAAAAAAGAGCCAAGCAGCTCTATACTTTGTGCTTGAAAAATTGGTCGCAGTTCTACAGCTGGTTTCTGTCCAGGCTTGCTTTGAAGGCACAGCAGGGCGCTGCAGCCTTGGGTTGGCAGAGGAAAAGCACTGGGCCTTCCCACTGGGGAAAAAGGGTGGTTTCTCTGTGGGTGAAGTGACACGCTACCTTTGGGGCCTCTCTACTCATGCAGGTTTAGGCACTATGGACTCTAATGAAGCACCTTATGACACACACAGGGAGGGCAGTGTTGTCCCTGCTGTGAGCCCTGCAGCTGAGGAGGCTCACGGCAAGGACAGTGCCAGGAATGCTGCCGCCATTGACTGTGAGTCTTGTTGGCAGCGGGTGGTGCACCCCTGTGGCTGGGAGCCCCTCGGTTGATGGGGCTCCC